GAAGACGTTCTTTGTGCATCAATACTCAACATCTCCTCCTCTCTTGTGTGGTTGCTTTGCTGTCAGTATTTTAAATCTGCACCAAAACACAATTCCTCAGAATGCATCAGTTACAGGCCATATTGTCTTCGCTGGTGACAGCCAGTTCAAAGAATAAAAATATTTATGCGTTGTGTAGGAAAACACCAATTGGAAATAATTAAGGCAACAACTCTGAACATGAAGGGAAATTTTACGTAACAGATATTCAGAAATAATGAAATAGTTTTTAATTTCAAAAGCTGAACGTTTCGTGTACTTGGTCTCCATACGCAACGTCAAATGCGAAATGAACAAAGAAATTGAAGACAGGATTCTAAAAGAACACATGAATTCAGTAGAAGCCAGTACTGTAGCCTGTGAAAAAAGTTGTCAATACAATTTAAAGGAAACATATGTGAGGCTAGTCTACTACGGACCTATGATAGTATTGACTTACTAATTCTAAATATTAAGAAAAATTCCAAAATAAACGATTTAATGTACATAAATGTAGTGGCACTGTAGCTTGTTCGACGGTCGATAATTTCTTAGTCAACGGCACAAATGGTGCAAGTCATGGAGTAATTCAGAAACAAAGAAGATGCGACGGTTGAAGTTCAGTTGGAAAGAGAAGGATAATGATGGTGGCGGCGAAAAAAACTTCTATGGCTAAACATGTAGGTTTTGAATGATTAGCATTACCAGAAGAAAAGTAGGGAAAAGTAGACAGAAATTTTAAAGACTTTAATACTCAATGAAGCGATCTCTGGCAGAGAGCAGTGTAAAACGCTCATTAGAAATGAAAATCCAATCAGCTTGAGCAAAGAACTAATTGATAATGGCGATATAACCAGTTATGGGGGAGCAGCTACTCGTTCTAAACGTACAACTACTGACTGAAAGTACCTCAGATAAAAATCTGGTTTGTCGGAAACTGGAAAGAAGCGAAGGAAAATTCACGCGTTCATGCACACTAATAGCTTTTACCAGCAGTTGTTTGGCAACAGCTGGACGTGTGGCAGCATCATCTGCCTGAGTGCCCTTGACTGTCATATCATGCGCTCTTTACAGATAAATCAGCAACATCTCTCATAGCACGCTTAGAATGATCAATGCAATCCTTGACAGTCTAATTTATGACTATCTTTTTATTACTCGATGCTTGTTACGTTGTTCATGAACATGTGTAGCCTGTCGGGTTCAGCGGCTATTACAATCCAGATTTAACACTGCGATTTCGATAGAATGCCAGTGGCCAAGCAAAGAGTAATCTCTCAGAAAAACAATAATAAAATCGTGTTGCGATGCAGAAAGGCGAAGCGCATTGCAACTTCGAGATCAACGAAACGACGCCCTTAGTGCAGACACTTATTCTTTAAACTTACAGAGACAGCGAATGCTAACGTTGCTCAAGAATCGATCGCAAGCGAAAAAAATCAACTAAAAAACCGTCAAAGATGATCATTAGTCGTGAAAACGTTCTTAAACACGTTCATCCACACATCGAATTGCTCAAACGATCGTTGCGTTGGAAACGAAACGTCATTAACAATCGCAGTTTGCTGGCAGTCATTTTACGGTTCAAAATTTTCCACTCCAATCGTTGTAGCCTACGGATTGTTGATAAAGGATTGGTATGCTCTCCTTTGCATTTCAAGGGTCGAGGTTGAAATGTCGACGAGGAACTTAACATTCGGGGGTAGATATTTATTATAACGCGTCGAGCAGCAAAAGAAACGTTGTCATTGAACTGACGGCCTGCAAAAGTATAGCGATCTCCTCTGGTCATGTCAGTTCTGCATCAGCTAAAGAGTATGCTGTTCAGTGCCGAATTCTGAGCCATTCAGTGCGTGAGATTCAAATATTCTTCATCACTGCAATCTTTAAAGGGTTTACTCCGCACTACAGTATTATACGCAGACTGCCCAACCCCAATGGTACGTGTTACACTAGTTTTTACACCTCACAGAATTCTAATGTTGCAAAACGAAGAGGCCAAAACGGTTCCTCTTTTGAGGCAGCATTTGATGTAGGATAAAGAAAATCAGACTTATCGAATGGCACTTTTTCTACATCTACATGCACAAATATTTGCATCAACAGTTTTTATTTATCCTCCATGAAACCATAATGGAACATCACCAGCATGCGATCCTTCAACAGAGAAAGCAATCATGGCGATCTAGTGAATCAAACACCCCAGATTAGATATTTAAAGGTGCACTACTGTCAGGTTTGAACCTACGCAACTTTTAAAGTTAACAAAAGTTACTCCCACTGTACAGAAAATATGGAGCAACGTATATTATTTCACCTAAAAATTCTCTCTGACGCATTCCAGTTGAGTCGCTTGGGCTACAGGCCTTACATACTGGCTTGTTTACATGCCATCCGACTTGTGCAACAGATTTTCTTTTCGATCTTGCAGAAGAATGCAATATTTTGTTGGCATATTCGTCAGACGGCCACCATTATTTTTCATGACGTCACCGACATATCACACTCTTCGATCCTGTTTAAACTTTGAG